ACAAGTTATTATATTAACTTCTTGGTTTTGTTGCTAGATTGAATTTGATTCTTTTTCATTTGTTAAGTGCTGACTTTTGCTATTTGGATAGATTAAAACTACATGTTGATCAACTAAAGTACTAACATCTCTTTTTGAAAAAGAGAAAGGTAGAATAACCGAGGAAGAACCTGAGATTAACGAGTTTTCACGTTGAATATTATTTGACTGATCGTCATTATTGATAAAAACATTTTCTTCAATTGTAGAGGATCTTCTGGATTGGGTTTCTAAACTCTATAAGGGCCAGATAATTGTAGCAGCTTTAGGCTCACAGGTATATAAATAAAGCTATAAATAAGAATGCTCACTGAAGACTGAGAACAATCTTGTGATTCATCTGTTGAATTGCTCATTGTTCTTATTAAAGACTGAGAGCAATCTTGATTAATTAATGATCCATTCGTTAAACTTTTTACTTCTATTAACAATAAAAAATTACTCATCAATCACCGTCTTGATAAATAATAAAATAATAAATAACATTTGTACCTTTATTAATATATCTCTGAGCTGCTACTAAAAAATCATCTCCATAATTTTTGTCATTTTTTATTTTTATTAATTCATCATGAACTTCTTTTGGTTAGTTGGAAAAAGTTGCATTTGGATTAATTAATAAACGAAGAGTTGTAAAATGTTAACATTGATAATATTCGTAATTTTCATCCGTTATAACAACATTTCTTAGTTTGCGGACTTTAATTTTGCTACTCATTGTGATTAAATTTATGATCAAAATTGATTTCGAAACTATTAGAACTCACTTTCTTTAAATAACGAGCAAACGAGCGGACGCGTCTCAGAGCTAGATCAAATCAATACATACTACATGAATTTTTTCTGTATTTAGATTATAACCGTGTTGTATGAATCGCCAAAATATTTGTCAAAAGTTTATGAATACGAGTATATTGATAAGGAGAAATTTGTTAAACAGTATTATCGAAACCGGTTTATGACATATTTTGCTTAAATTTTATACTATATACAGTAGGTTGTAAACTAAAATTTTTAGAATGCATAAAAAAATATTAACTTGTTTATATACTCTAACAACTTAAACCCGGTTCATATTACCTGTAGATATGATAAATCGATTCATAAACAGTATAATCAGTCAATAGACTTCCCAGTATAAAAAATTA